AGAATCCTCCTCCCTAATCCAAGAAATACATCCATCACCATGAGGAGCAACATCAGTTTCAACCCAAGTGAAGATCAGCTTTACCATGGAGACCCTATTCCAGAAGAGAGAAGAGAAGATAGTGAAGAAGTAGAACCAGAAGGAGGTGAAGAAGAAGTTAAGGAAGAAGGTGAAGAAGAAGTCCAAGAAGATGCTACTGCTGGCGCTGAAAGCCATGGAGAAACCCAAGAAGAAGAGCTTGATGAAGATGAGGTGTTGAACTACAACTTCAAGCAGTTCCACTTCAAGCCTTATGAAGTCCCAAGCCAAGAGATCTCTCTGAAGTTTGCTCATGAGCATATCAACACACTTCAGAAATGGTGTAAATGACAAAACAAATCCATCAAGAAGCTAGTGAAGATGGTTAAGGGTAAGTTCAAAAAGAACAAAGCTACATCAGGAGAAGCTTCCCATCAGAGCCACACTCATGAGTACACTTCTCACCATGAAGAGCCAATGCCACAAGCTGATCCTGCTGAAGAAGAGGAAGCTGTTTGGAACCCCCAAGGAAGACATTCCTTTCATGCACAACGAAGTGATCAATGGGGAACATGGGCACAATCAAGGGCTTCATCATATGAGCCAAGGACCCATATACCATCAGCATGGGAAGCACCAGCACCCAACCCTTCTGAAGTTCAACCAACATGGCAATGGGGCACTCAAGGTGATTCTTCTCAAGCTAAAAGGATCTGGTCAAGCTGGGTTCCTCCACCTCAAGAAGTAGCACCATCTCCAAAGACTTATGGGAGGAGAAACAAGAGGAGAGCTAGCAAGTCTCCACAGACATCTGGATCCTCCCACCACTACACTTACTAAAAGCTACCACATCTTGATCATTGTTTATACCACTGCATTTATTTAAAGTTTTGTATTATATTTTGTTGCTTCTCTCTCTCATTACTTTCATTACACAAGGGACTGTGTAATTTAAGTGTGGGGGAGAGATTTGGGATTTGACTTTGTGTTTTGTTTTCTTAGTTTTTTATTTTCTTTCATCTTGAGTCACATGCATATCATGCATTCATCTAAGGCATAGAAAAACACAAAAAATCGAAAAATTTGAAAAAATTTGCATATTTTTGCAAACCAAAAAGAAAGCATGTAGTTGCATTTCATTCTCTTAAGATTGAGTCTAGTGTTGACATATAGGTTACTTTGCATTTGCATAGGGAATAATGATGAATCTTCCTTCTAAAGTGCTTAGAGTTTATAGATGATTTCAGTGTTTAAGTGATTAGTTGTTTGATGCATCATAAGAAAGCAAGAAGTTAAGACTGAACCATGCTTGGATTGTTAATTTTGATCATCTCATCTCATACTGAAAGCATTTGTTCTCTGAAAATCAACTCTATCAACTTGAACCTTAATTTGGACTTTTAATTATCATGTCTTATGCATTGAAAAGTGAATTCATGGCTACCATATACATATTTGGATCATCTTTTCCCTTTTTACCACTCTTGTTGATCCAAATAGCTTATCCACTCCCTTAACCAAACCTCCTTTTGAGCTTAAACACTATCTTGAGAGCTGTGAGGCCTTTGCATATCATTTTTGATTTTGTCTTGGCAAAAAGTGTTAGGAATAAGGCTGGTAATAATAAGCTCTCTTGTAGATATCATCTTGCATCTTGAGCTTGATTCTAGGTTAGGAGTTTTGGGGTTAAAAATGGTAGAGTTAAGTGGTTTGAACTTCATGTTTATATGCTTTTAAAAGAAGAGGGAAAAGTTTGAAATGGTAGAAAAGGAGAAACAGTCTAGCATTGTGGTTAAGTAAAAGCTCTAAGTGTTTAGAAAGAATGGTGCCAGCAACATAAAGGTTTTGAAGGGTCAATCCAAAGAAGAAATCAGGTCCAAAGCAATCCACCAAAGGTGAAGAAGGCGCCAATGCAACAAAGAAGAGATAAGTCCCAACAAAAAGAAGCAACCACACAAGCAAAAAGAAGAACTTTCCCCAGCCATGAAGAAGGGTAAAAGGGTAGAGTTTAGGGAAAGGGTAGACTTAGGGGTTTAAAAGTGTTTAGGATTCATCTTTGTGTAGAAGGGAGCTTTGAATTGCATGCATAAGTGTGTTTTTACCTTTAGCATTTTCCCTAAGATAGATACATTTCATTGAGTGATCCTTTATGTTTGTGCACCCTTTGCTTGAATGAGATTATTTTAATCTCATAACCTTAACCTTTGAAACAAATGTCTTCACTTGATTTGCATAAACATGATTCATGGTTTTGAGCTTAATTGAATGTTAAAGAGTTGATTGATTTGAGCATTTGCCTAAGTTGAGATTTGAGATCATTTTTAAACACGATGAGCATGGCTAAATTCTTTAAAGTATGGCTGATTATGTTTGCATCCTACAACTAGGCACTTAAGCATTGATACCATCTCTTTACCTTTGCACTTTTGAATTTGAGTGCCCACCTTCAAACCTCACTCTCTCATTTGTTCTTATTTGCTTGAGGACAAGCAAAATGCAAGTGTGGGGGTGTTGATATCTCTTGTATTTACATCATTTAAGCTTGCATTTAGTGCATGTTTTGGTTCTCTTTTGCATGTTTTCCTTATCTTTTATCCTATTTTCTTCTCCTTTTAGACTTAGGTTGCATTTAGGATGTAGTTTGCATTTTCTTTGCATCATGGATGTTTTTAGGTACTTATGGAGCTATGAGGAGCATGGAGGAGCTTTGGGAGTGGACAGGAAGCTAGATGAGCTGAAATGGAGCAAGAGGAACCAAGGCAGACGATCTCTGCAGAGCCTATCGGTCTAGACACGAAGGCTTTCGGTCAAGGAGTGATCGATAGAAGAGCTATCGATCAAGCCTATCGGTCAAAGAAGTGACCAATAGAAGTTTACCGTGAGAATTCTGGCCACCCTATCGGTTACCTTGTAGACCGATAGGATTCTTATCGATCACCCTATCGGTCACAATCTGACCGATAGGAACCCAATCCGAAGCTGCTTTTTATTACACTTTTGCCATTACTTTTAGGGCATCCCCCATTTATGTATAAATACTTATTTTTCTGGGATTTTTGAGCAGTCATGTCATTCTACTGTTCTTGAGTTATTTCTTTGAGTTTGTAAGACAAATTTCTTGCTTTATTAATATAAGTTTGTATTTGCTATTAATCTTTCCTTAATCTCTCTTTTAATTATGATTAGCATATTTTCCTCTTGTGATTTGGTGTTAAACATGGCTATTAGTGAGTAGTTTGCTTAGGATTCTTAGATGTGGTAAATTAAGGGGATTTAGGGATTGATTAAGATTTGTTTAGTGATTAATAACATGGATTTCTCTCTATTGATCTGTTTTTAAGCTAGATTTGTCTTGATTACACTAATCTATGATTGATGCTTTCTCTTATGCCCACCAAGTGTTTGATGAAATGCTGATATTGTTTGATAGAGGATTTGCTGGCTTTGGCTCAAGAGATTGACTGTTTGAGGAGAATTTTGACATGAATAGAATTGATTATTACTGCTTGTTGAATGTTTTAGCACTAATTAGAGTTAGTTCTTGTTAAAGTGTCTAGCAAAGGGCTGTTTATCAAGAGATGGGACTTAGCTTGCTTGTTTGTGAACTCTATGTCTAGGAGTCAGCATTGCTAGCTTGTTTGTTAGATCAGTGATGCTTGAAACAGCCTTAGTTAGTCTTTGAATTCCCCAAAATCAATAACCACATCTAGGAACTTGCTTTTTTTTTGTTGAATTTCTAATTTGTTTAAGTGCTTTGTTTATTTACTCTACCTTACTTTCTTGATCATTGCGAAACTGTCTCTTTTTGAGTTCTCTTTGGTTATTGATCACTTTAGGTTGTTAGTTCAGTTGCTTAGGCAACAAAAACCTCTTTGCTTGTTTAACTTAAGGACTTCTGCTTACAACTCTTTTGTATTCAACAACTCCCTGTGGATTGATAAAACTCAATACTATAATAACTAGTGTAGGTTGAGGATTGAAATTGTGCAAAAACCTATCATCACAAATACATCTAATATTTTATATAATAATTTTCTGAATTAAAGGAAAACAGCAAAAGAAAATGAAAAATACAGATGACCAAAAGAAAGATCATGAAAATTACAAGGGCCATCGAATACCTATTTTTTCTCCTATTTTTACTGTTCCATATGAAATCATTACGGATTACCTTAAAAACATCATTAAAGAGCGATTTGATGATTAGATTCATAATAATCCATCCAATCTAAACCAAACAGAAAATCATATCATTAAGCAAAAAAAAAAAGGATAAATAAAGAAAGACAAAGCAAAATGGCAAAGAAAGCAAAGACTGCTGGATTCGTCGCTCTTTTAATTATTTTCCTGTTGATATCAATAGGTAAATAATCTATATTATACTATATAATTCTATCTAAAACGTTTGCTTTGATATATGTTTATTGTATATTTGTTTAAATAATAACGACAAACACAAGCAAAAGCCGTAGTTTACACTCTGATTGACACTTCAAAAAATTCACATGTACAAATGCTATAAATGACTTCTTAAACAGTAAAACAACTAAAAAGCCACATCATTTGTGATATTTGTAATAATAAGATATGTTTTTTTTGAAGATTAAGAAAAACTAAACTATCCAGTTTTAATCAAAAATGATTTGAACATTCTTACTAATCAACCACAGCAATACCAACTGGAAATGGGGCTTGTAAATGTAATGATAGCTCGTCCTGTCCTGCCGTGCTAAGCAAGAGGGAACCGCACACAATTTGTAATCATAAACCAGAAATTCTTGCTAATAGGGCTGCAAATATGCTTGCTTGGAAGATTATTATATCAAATACGAATGTTCGGGGTTCCATAAAAATCAGAAACGGTGCCACTGCAGCGTGAGACGATTCATATGCTAAAGAATCCTATCCCACGATCGACTTGAATTGCATGCTTCATAATTATTTTTTTTTTTTCAATCGATACTCCTGTGTTTTCTTTCTGCTTTGTTTGTACCTTTTATTTTTATACATGTAATGGGATAAGTGAAAATTTTGTCAGTCGACCACCATTGATGGCCAGCAGCATAACAAGTGCGGTGCATAGAGTTATGACACTTTTTTTTGACATAAGTTACAGAGATAACATAGAAAGTGGAAAAAACAAAAAACAAAAAAAAATTAAAAACACAGTCAAAGTTATAAACAGAAACAAGAAAAAGACAAAAACGAGAAGTTAGGAATACAATAGAGCCGGACAGTAGAAAACACCGATTTCTAAAACTTACTCTCGGAAACTTACATTTGCAATTCTTCATTGTCCTTGCCACGAGCAACTCACCCTCGAGGCCAGCCCTCAAACATGGCAGAAAGAGGTGCCTATAACTTCTCTAAGAACAAGCACAAGAACGAGAACACTTAGCCCCACCAATCACACACCAGCGGCACATAAGCTTCAGGGCTCGCTAGAAAAGCCGCCTCTAGCCGCCATTTTTCAAGCTTGATAAAGCAGCGAGAATTATCTCCCACAATAAAAAATTGATGGCAAGACTCGTCCCATATCACCACTAGAGGCTAGAGCTAACAATGAAGCCATCACCTATCCAAGATTGAATCCTTCAAAACCATCAAAACCCAGACCTGAAACAAAATACACATCAAAGACAGCAGCAGGAGGCACACAGGAGGCCAAGACAAAACAGAGAAACCATGATTTGCAAACAATTAAGAGATTACCTCTCAACTTCGAACTCGATATTGATGCCTCGCCACCGGCCATTGTCAGGGCAGCCCAAACCGAGCCCACAACCGCCAAAGATGACCGCCCAAACCACAACTTGACGACGGGGAGAATGCGGCCACTATTGCAAAACCCAAGCCTCGACCAGCCAACCCGAAGAACATAATCAGACACCATTGGGATCTGAAAGCATAGAGCCACCACTGTAAAAGACCAGAGAAAGTAGACAGAAAATAGAGGGCAAAGAAAGGAGAAAGGGCAGTCTTCACGACCCTTACCTAACCCACCAGAAAAACCCATGGATAAATCAAGAATATCTTAGCAAATATGGTGCATTTTATGTTTTGATTAGGTAGATGAGTACAAAGATGTTTAAACTAGAAAATTGAGCAGTGAGAAAAAGAAAGAGAAATTATGGACTACTTACCCTTGTATCTTAGAGAGAGATAGAGAGAAAGAAGATGTGTCTTAGGGTGAGACAGAGAGAAAAAGTGTCTTATTTCGTGTGAGATCGTGATAGTATACTCTTTTTCTTGGTTATCTCCAAGAACACAATAAACCCGCCTATGCTACAGAGCAACTCGAGGCAGAGGACCCGAAACCGGCGACAAGGCATCCATGCTTCCGGAGAGAGACTCTTCAATACCTCCTAACAATCCGTCCACGAGCAAGCGCACAAGGCAAAGGAAGAGTTCAACACCGCTGGACAAGCATGGACACGCGCTGGAGCGCGTACAACTGCAGAAACCTAACAGAGATGGAACAACAGATATAAGGCGAGGGCCAGGGCGAAAAACGTCGAGATAACAGCCGGTTTGAAGAGCAAAGAAAGGGGTCCCTCCCACGGTGGCGGTGAGCATGCAAGAGAGGGAGATCAAAGAAGGTGAAGTAGCGGCGGCGGAATAATCAAGAGTAACTTAGCAATTAGGGTACTTTTATGTTTTTATTAGGTAGATGAGTACAAAGATGTTTTAATTAGAAAATTGAGCAGTGAACAAAAGAGAGAAATTATGGATAATTTACCCTTATATCTTAGAGAAAGATAGAGAGAAAAAATTGTGTCTTAGAGAAAGAAAAAATGTCTTATTTCGTGCGGGGTCGCGAGGGGTAATTCACAATGATTGTTAGGTTTTGGGACGAGGAAGAGTGAAAAGAAAAGGAAAGAAGTTGGAGTAAATTGGAGAGAAAAAGAGATTCAGTGTCCAAAGGCTTATGTTTTGAAAGGAAAAGAAAGACCTGGGAAGTAAAGCAAGAATAAGATAGCTCTAAGTATGCTCTATGGAAAGAAAATCTTCTAGATCAAACGAAAAAAAAAAAGAAACAAAAGAAGAGAGGGTAGAGTTTGACCAAAAAAAAAAAAGAATAGAGGGTAGAAAAGAAAAAGAAAGAGCTTTGTTTTGTAAAAGAAGAGCTTCTCAGTTGCTTTAAGAATTAGAAAAGGGGTTTGGTTTGATAGCCACAATGGCTTTGGAGATTTGTTTTAGATTAAATGAGAAAGAAATCGGAATTGGCTTGGGTTTCAGGATTAGGATTGCAAGATAGGAAAGGGTAGGACAATGGGAGCTATAGTTGTATGCATAAATTGTTTCTGTCTTACGAAAATTTTGCATAATGTCCAGTTAGCCCCGTCTTAGCAATTTCAAGAGCCTAAAGCGAAATACAAAATATAAATATTTTATATTATATTAATAAAAAGTAATTGTATTAATCAAAATAAATCAAACTATAATTTTTTTATTTTTATTGCTAGTTTGTTAAAAAAAATATATATACATAACTAGTTTGTATAATATTTTTTTGACATAATACTTCATTCAAGTGTATTATTTCTATAAATTATATAAAAAATCATCAAACATAAAAAAAATACAAAAGAATATTAATTCTTTTTAGAAAAATAAAAAATCATATATATCTTTTTTTCCTAACTTTATTGTTCTAAAATTATTGATAATTGTTTCAAAATTTATAGATTTTAAAACTTCCTTTTCAATGCATAATAGTACAAGACCATTCAACCTTTGTTGAAACATTGATCTGATTTTGAAATTCTTTGTAATTTTAAATAATTGAGATGGTTGTTTGTCTTGTTAACAAAGGAAACAATTAAGGTATAATTCTTTTTGTATAAGTAGGTTATGACGTTATTATTAATTGAATAAATGATGAGCCTTTTTATGTACTAAAAATTAATTATATATTCAAAACTATCTTCAAGAATATATTTTTAACAAATTTTATAATATATTAAAAAAATTGAGCCCTTAAATTATAGGTATAATTTCTTTTAGATCACAATCCTTTTTTTTATTAAATGGATCATGAGCTTTATTATGTATTATAAATTAGTTCTATTTTTCTTCGTGTGAACACATTATAACAAAGTTTTCAATATATAAAAAAAAAAAAAATTGGGCCCTTAAATTTTTGGATCCATGGCCATTGCCCCTCCCGCCATGCCTCAGAGCCGGGGCTGTGTCTAGCATTCTGATTCCCGAGAGTTGGCCACTGTTGAAAAATCTGAACCGCCTTGATCAACATTTTTAAACCTTTTTCCTACCAAACTGATTAGATGAGATCATTTTCCCATTTGTGAGACTGCACTTTGAATATAAGTAACTAAATGTGAGAGTTGGTGAAAGTTTGGTCTTGCGAATTTTTGACTTTGAATGTAGAGAAAAAGACTTGAGTTGTAATAAGCCTTGAGAAAATAGAGAGTTTATTCATGCAAAATGTTATCATTTTCTAAAGACACCATAATGAATGCTTTGCTAGATACTTTTGGTTGTGAGTTTCCATCTTCAAACTTGATGTAGGAGTTTACTCCACTTCAAATCCTACATATACCCATATCATTGTAGTATGTAGGTATCAATCCATAATGGGAAGATAAGACACTAGGAATACAATAGATTATCTAATTCAAGCAAGCAAAAGGGGTGATTGAAACTATAAAACTACTGACTAAGAAAGACTTCAAATAAACAAGAACAAGCAGATTAAACAGAGAAACTAACACAGGTTCGAATTCAAACAATCAAAAGAGTAGTGGGCTTGAGATAGGGTAATTGATCTAGGGAGACTCTTGGCTTAACTAGTGATGCTTCAAAACATTCCAAACAATGCTATTCCTAGGCATAGAGTTAACAACTATAGCTAGCTTTATTCCTTGACACTAAGCAATTTGCTAAACACATATTCAAGACAAATTCCTTTACTCAAACACATGATCAGCAGGCAGTACAAACAACTAATCCAACTCTATATTGCCAATCTACTCCTTAGACAGCTAATTTCTTAGGCTAAAATACGCAAATCTCTTACTTGACTCATTCAGGCAATTCATCAAACACTTATCAGGCATAAGAGAACCCTAGGATCTAGATCAACTTAGCAAGGGCTAATCTAGCATCAAACACAATCAATAAGAAGGGACAATGATATTAAGCACTAAGCAATCACTAATCCAACCTTAATCTCCCTATATGTATCCCATCTCAAATCCTAATCAAACTACTCACTAATCAAGATCCTAATCACTGCCCAAAGCAAGGATGGATAACAAATCATGACAAGAGAGAAGATAGACACCAACTTTTGATTGAGAGAGCAAAATTCAACAAGAGATTACAAGAAAAACTAAGGGAAATACAAAAGAGAAAGCTATTATGCCGAAGGTAAAAGATGATAAGATGATCCTTATGTTTTTAGGTTGCAGCTTATATATAGTTTTCAGGAAAAACCCTTAGTAAACCGGGAATAAACTGGAAAGCAGCTGGTTCGGGCGCCTGATATCGACTTGTTATGTCGATACTTTGGTCGATATTGGTTGGCAGGAGAGTGCATCAACCAAGTCTAGTCGATACTATCATCGATACAGTCGCCTCTGGTTAAGGCGTCTCGGGTGATCTCCTCGGTAAGCTGCTCAATACAATCACCCTTTAGTTAAGGCTCATCGAGCTCCAATGTCGATACAGTGATCGATACACTTCCTTGGACTGTGTATCGAGATGATCCTATGTCGATACGATGACCGGTACAAGAGCTTTGAAGCAGGTGTATAAATCAGAGTAGCTCGATATCCTTCTGGTGTCCTATCTCCTTGTATTGATCTTGGGACTTCAATGTGATGATCGATATAGCTCCCCATCATGTATCGACGCGTGATGTCGATACTCTGCTATGTACGATGTGTATAAGTCTATATCCTGCTCGATATAAAGCTCTTTTCACCTTGGCCTCTTCACCTTTTGATTTCCAACTCTTCCTCTGGTCCCCAAACTCCCAAAATGCACCTGCCAAGTGCTAGGAATGCACCTAATATGCAATGCAACTCCTAATTATACTCTAGATGTTAAGTGGATGCAATTGAGACATGAACATGTAGAAATACATGCTTGAAGACTACAAAACAATGTAAAAACGCATGCTAATAGGGTGCAAATAATGAGTATATCAAAACCTCTCTCTTGATTTGCATTTTGATTGTTTGCTTGTGGACAAGCAAATGCCAAGTTCGGGGGAGTTTATACATGTAGGTTTTGGGTATTCTTAGCTCTTGTTTTGTTTGGTTTTCACCATGTTTCATATCTTTTAGAAGTCATTTTAGTACATTTGAGTCTTGTTTGCATCATCTAGTGTCATATTAGAGTCCCATGCCATTTTGTTACATTTGCATCGTATTTTATGTGCTTTTAGGGTACTATGGAGTTCTTTGGGACTTGAGGACATGGTGAAGCAGTGGATAAATGAGTGGAGCTGGAAAATTCATGAAGAAGCAAGGGGGTGGCTCTTACGCAAACCCGCCGGTTTAGAGCACCCACCAACCTCTAAAATTGCTTCCGGCTGGCGCACTCTCGCACAAACCCGCCGGTTTGGAGCACCCGCCAGACTGCCAAGATGCTTCAGTGTGGCGGACTCTCGCACAAACCCGCCTGTTTAGAGCACCCGCCGGCCTACACAAATGCTCCCAGGGTGGCACATTCTCACACAAATCTGCCTGGCTGTGAACCCGCCAGGCTGCCCATATGCTCTAGATAGACCACTTTCTGTTTTAAGCTGGATCTGCTCCGATTTCTCCTGGATCGAACCAGATCATTTTTATGGCCTATAAATACAAGTTTAGACAAGCAAAACCCTAAGAAAAACCCTAAGCCATCTTATGTTTTAGTTTTTCTTGCCTCCTTAGTTCTAAACACTCTGTCTTATGATTTGTGTTGGACCTTTTATATTTACTTCTTAATCTAGTGCACTTTCCTAATCTTTTCTTAATTTCTGATAATTATGTCTTTCATGATGTT